GGCTCATGTGTGTGTGTGTATAAATGTGTGTGTAGGCTCGGGTGTGTGTGTGTGTGTGTGTGTGTGTGTGTGTGTGTGTGTGTGTGTGTGTGTGTGTGTAGGCTCATGTGGTGAAGGGGTAAATAGCCCAATGCAGAGAGCTTCCCTGTAAGTGAAAATAAAAAATCTTCATGTTGATGACTTTGTAGTCTATAAGTTATTAAAAGACAGGGAAACAGGAATTTTATAAAGGTTTTTCTTTTCTCAAAATGGTTAAAATGAAAATGAAAATAAAAAAGTAGCTCCTAAAAGAATAAGCTTCAGGTGTTTGAAGAATTCACTTATGTGGAACTCTTCATTTTCTATGTAACGGGATAAATGAGGTGTATGTCTGGGTATGAAAAATGCCCCTATACACACATTGTACAGAGAAACCAAGCTTTGTACCCTCCCCAGGAGACTGGGGAAGTCTCCTGTGGTGGGGGGAGTGATGTCTGAAGTATGACACCTTTCCATTATTAAGATTTAGATCTCCTAGTCTACCCCCAGTCTTCAGATGCTTTAAAAACTCTGGATCAATTAGTCATTTTTCCCTTCCTATTTTTTCCATTGTAACTTTGGACTCATGCTGTCAAGCTTCCCAGGCACATGTTGCCATAGGAGACTCTGTTTGTTTAGGGTGGAGTAGTTGTTTTTGGCAGGTTGGGGGAGGAGCAATTAATTCTAATAGGTATATAGTAAATTAAATACTTGAGTCTTTCCAACCTTTTCTCTGTATTTCTGCTCTTTTTTATAAATTCCCTTCTCTTCCCAGATGACCCTTTAAGAGCAGAAAATAAACAGCTTCTAGAAATCATGTCCAGGCTATAGCAATAGAAGTCCAGTGGGACCTAGAGAAGGTCACCTAGACTATTTCTGCTCTTTTCAACATATCTTCCCTAATGTTCTTGAGATGAGAAGCCATCCTTAGGGAAGATTTTGGAAAGAAAGATTCCCCAGGATCCTTTAGTAATCCATTCAGATGTTTAAGTTGTTCTTATGAAAACGAAGATCTTTAGATCTGCTTTTAATCTTCCATACTGAAGACCATACTTTTATATGAAGGAAAAGTATTTTGGGTGCTCTTTGGATTTTTATAGACAATTACATGAAAAAGAAAGAAGGAACAGATTAAATTTTGCCAATGAGTCAGTCAGGGTTGGAGGAAAAGTAACAGATGCAGTGTTAGAAAAGGAAAATATACTCCAAAAACTTGAAAAAGAAAACTCTGAGGGAATCTCAGTAAATGTATCTGGTCCTCCTGGGAGGACTCAAGAGCATCTATAGGTGTTAAGGATGCAGCTAGTTGTGTTTTGACTCCTATTATTTGGCTGCAATTGTGGACGCAAGTTCTGATTACATAGCTGTTCCAAGTTCTCCCAAGCCAGAGTAACTGGCTCTGGTGTTAAAGACAAACGCTCATCTCAGAATCTTTGTCTTTTATCCCAGTGAAGCCCATGTTGAAAACACAATTCATTTTCACTCACTGCTCTCAACTGATATTGCTGTGCAGCTGTACGACAGCTGTTGAGTTCCACCCCACAAGTAGCAGTTTTCAGTGGTTGGCAAACTGGTATACATCTGGAATGATGTCCAAATGACCTCAGGACCCCATAGAATAAATCAAAACATTGAAGTAATAACTTGGATGAGCTCGTTCTGATGTAACTCAATTGCTGAAAATTATTTAATGTCCATTTTTCAGTTTAGTGATCTATCTCATCAAAGCATAGTGAAATAGGGAACAGTTGACATTTAAGGAGGGTGGGGGGAGAGAAAGTGATTTGAACATGTGAACTGGAAGGTGGCCTCAGAACTCAGGAGTCTACTGTCTTGTGGCCCAAAGAGTTTGACCACAAGATGTTTCCTGCAGCTTCGCAGCTGGGCATCCACTCAGGATGGGGAGCAACCAGTGTGATTGAGTAGGTGGGCTAGCTGGTGTGCCCTACAGGATGCTGGGGACACTGTCTCCCTCCAGGCATGGTTCTAGAGAAACAGTGCATTGGGCTGCTGAGCTATGTTTTAGCCACTTGCTGCTGTTCTTATCATGCATTCCCTTTTGGGGTGAAACACTCCATTAACTCTGGTTTGGCCTGGGCCCCTTTCCCGTTTTGCTTCTTGTTAACTTGCAGCAATAACAGGAGTGGATGGAAACAGTTTTGCTTTCTCTGCTCTAATTCTGTGTCTAGCTGCTGTGCGTGAGGTAGCTGTGCATGTGGAACTCTTTCTGACCCAGCACTGGTGCTTCCAACTCTAGGACCACTGCACTCTGGACAGACACCATTTGAGTCTTCATTGCACCCCAAGACTATGACTACTAGGGTCTCTAAGTACAAGGACCAGGAGAAGGGATGGATATTATGGTCCTTCATCTGTGAGAAGCAGCAAAGAGTCAAGATGCATGACTTCTCATCCCAAGCTCTTCTTGACTCTAGCTATGTGACCTGGGGCAATTTTTGTCATCTCTATGCATCTACATTTACTCACTGATAAAATGGGACTTTTAAAGCCAACCTTTCTTGATACACAGGCTTTTCCTGATGATCAACAGAGTTAAAATGTGTGAGACTATTTTGTTAATCTACATAATATAAATAATATTTATAATAATATAAATAATATAACTGTTGTCACAAGAAAGCAAAAAAATTGATCAAGGAGTTGAAATGAACCATTCTGGACCCTAGAGTAGGCCAGCAGCAGGTGCTACAGGTGAAATTTGACAATTCCTTCGGTCCCATGGTCTTACCTTGAGACGTCAACTTCTTGCAAATGTTAGGTCAGTTTGTGTCCTGCCCCTTGGGTGCTCTCTCTTAATATCTTTTGAGTCCCATGGTTTGTGTTGGGCATAGGGATGAGTGGGAGAGTAGGGCAAAGCCCAGCGAAGCCGAGCCTAGACACTGACCTCCCACCTCCTTGCCAGCCTTTCCAGGCGGATGGTTGGTGTGACACTATCAACAACCGGGCCTACTGCCGCTACGATGGGGGAGACTGCTGCTCCTCCACACTCTCCTCCAAGAAGGTAAGCGAGGCGCCTGGGAGTGGGGAGAGGGCAGCAGCTCCAGGAGTGAAGGCAGGTGCTTTGGCTAGCTCTCCTTCATGGTGTATCATTATTGATTTTTATTCAACAGTTAAGAGGAGGGAATTATAATGAACCAACATTGGAGCTTCTACAGCAACAGGATTAAGGATAGTGATTTTAGGATAGGTTGTTAGAAAACACTAATTCTTTAATTGTCAATCCTATAACTCCTTCAGAAAAGCCATGGCTTTTGCTACTCAGAGACTCACATCTGCTCATCATTGTCCAGGAAACATTTCTGTAGGCAGGGAATAATGGCCTCCACCCTTTCGGGAGGCAGGCTTGCCAATGAAGTGATATCTAGTTATTATTCATCTTCATAATTAAATTAATAATCCTATAAAGTGTATTATAAGCATATTGCAAGTATATGTTGAGTGGCCACCACAAGCTACCTGGAGCACTCTCTGGACTGGGCTCTCTTAAACTGGGCAGATATGCTCAAGCTAAGCCTGTAAAATTGAATAGGCTGAAATTTTGCAATAATATGGATAAAAAACCAAGTGCTGCAAAGGTACATGATGCTTTTGGCCAATATATAGAATCAGAAATATGCAAGAGAGAGTATTTCCTTCCTTGTACATGTCTCCACAATAAAGTCACACCTACATGATCACCTCTATGCAGAGCTGAATACTGCAGCTCCTAATGGCTAATATTTACTGAATGCTAGCTATGTGCTGGGCACTATTTTCACCACTTATGTGAATTAATTTATTTAACGCAGAGCGCTCAGGGGCTCATTGTATCACTGTTCAATTTGGCCCTCTTTCGCTCTGAAAACCCATAAATTCCAAACCAAGAGAAACAGATAAAAAGCTTGGATTACAGGTCAGAAATCATGCCAACTAGTTCCTATCCTCACTTGCAGAAAGTAACTGGTCAGGGATCCCATCTCTACGCAGGAAGACAGGACCACCTTGGAAACAAGCAGGCAGTTCTCTCCCCATCTCCATCTCACACTCAGCAAATCTAGGGTTTGTCTTTAATGGATTTCAGTGCCTGCGGCCAGCATACACCAGAACCAGGATTGAAAAGGCACTTCACCCACCCCACCCTCATTGACTCCTAAGTCACATTTTACTTCGTATGTGAAGATATGCTGGGAAGTTTCCCCAAACAGCACCACCCATTCTCCAGCCCTCTTGCCCAATCACCAAGCCCGTCTCTCCAGTGTACTTGGACCACTAAATGATATGCCTATATATTTTTATCTCATTTGATTGTCCACGCCCAAAGGGTAGAATGTTTGCCATTTTTACAGCATTTCTCCCAAATGCCTGGTTCTCTCTGAAGCTAGTTAGGGACATTCAAAAAGTGTGTTTATCTGTTGGTAGCAGTACAAGCAAGAACTTTTGCTGGACCATCTGTAGCATGGAAGAGGGATACTTACATAGCAGGAAGGCAATCCAGCCACAAACAATGGGTAGAGAGATGCATTGTTTCACCAAGCCAAAGTATATATCCTGGGTTCAAGAAGGGAAAAACCTCATGCTTATGAAGGTGGCAGAGATGATCCTATGGCCCAAGAACACCAAAGAGTAAGTAAGAGTCATAAAGCTAGGCTATAGAGTCTTGGTTTTCCAGATAGTAATGTCGTGACCTTGAGTTAAGTCACCCAACTTCTCTTGGCCTTTCCTGAAAAAAGAAAATGCTAACATTCATTTTACTTACTTTACAGGGATTTTTGTGAAGATGATAATAGCAGCAAAAACATTAACAGCAATAGTTTTAGACATTAGCGGTAGTATTAGAAGTAGTAGTAACAGGTGTTATAGGTGCCTGGAAATGTGTTTCATATCTCTCCTCTTATTTAAACCACACTAACACTCTCTGGGGTAGTTACTGTTGTCCTCTAACTTTATATATAAAGAAAGTGAAGCAAGGATCCCTAAGGAGACATGGTGTGTAAGTGAAAGTACTGAGTATTAATTTCACTTCTGTGATATTAACACATAATCCCACACTTCCTCTGGGACCGAGGGAGAAAAGTGAAAGCTGGCTGAAAAGTGTGAAGCTTGGCACGAAAATTAGTTATTTCAACTTCTCTTTGATTTCCCCTAGGTCATTCCATTTGCTGCTGACTGTGACCTGGATGAATGCACCTGCCGAGACCCCAAGGCTGAAGAAAATCAGTAATTGTGGGATCCAGCCCCTCCTTCCACTGCCCTGGAGGCAGTAAGAAAGAGAGGCTTCCCCAAAAGGAAACAAAAGGTGAATGAAGAAGAAAGACCATGAAATGAGGGAAGGAGGAAGAATGCGAAGGATCTATAAGAAATGCAAGAGGATGTTTATAGGTGCCAGTGATTGCATCAAGTAGCCCAAATAGGGAAGAATCATAGGCAAAAGTTTCTTCCAAGAGGCATTTGCTTAAAAGTGGAAGAAGAAATATGATAGATATACAAGGATCCTCCTCCCTCATTTATATTCTATCCAACCCCATCCTCAACTCTTGCCCTACTCCCCTACTCCCCACTCTGCCAACTGTTCAGCCCCACCTAACTTGTAAACCAATACCAAAATAGTAGAAGAGAAGTTGCCAGGGACACTCTGTTAATACCCATTTTGAATGGATTGCCATCTTTCAGGGCTCGTCTACTCTAAACTGGCTCTCGCCCTTTCTTTTGTGTAGTCTTCTGTAGTAATAATGAGGTTAGTTATTAATTCTTTATAAGTATTTAAACATAATTATATAAATATATATATTATATTTTTTGCTGTCTACTAAGCTAAAAATTATCCATTGTTCCACACATGCTGCTGTGAAGTTCACGTCCAAAATGAATGCTGGGGGTTTGAGGATAGAAAGATAAGTTCTTCTGCCATCTTTCTATTGATAGGAATTGGCAGGTTGAGAGGGAATTGGAGAAGGAGAGAGAGATTAGATGGAGTTCTTGAGGCTAACATGTCAGCTAATCATCTTTTTGTGAGCTAGGAGCTGGGCCCACTTTGAGGAGATGGGGGGTTGCAATGACAACACTAAGAGGCATGAGAAGTTGGGTGGGACTACCTATTGGTGATGGGTCCAGGAGAACTAGACTGTGGTTCTTGAGTATCCATCCAAAAAGAATATATTCACTTCTCAGAACTGTTAGTTGGAGGTGGTGAGACATGGAACTTTCTACACTTCCATATGTACCTGCTCCAAGTGTGGCTCTCAGCCTATCCGTCAGTCAACAAGTTAGTATTAGGGCTCATTCTCTGATCACCAGGATTACAGGAACTCACGCATTCCTCATACTTGGCCTGTGGTCTCACTTCTCCTGAGTCCCCAAGCCTGATCATCATTCACAGCCACAGGACCGATTGTTGATTTTCTGGGGAAAAAATATGTTATGGAAATGACATAGGAGAAAGGTGGAAGGAGATAAGAGATGCAAGTACAGGCAGGGATGGAGGAGCCAAGGGCGGCCATAGAGAGGGGAGAGGTCAGGGGTAAATCAGAGCCCAGGGCAGGAGGATGAAATGAGTCAAGGAGAGACTCGGCCTTGTTGCAAGTCTCCAAAGCAGACCAAGGGGGATCCTTTGAACCATGCAGAATCTGAGGCAAATTCTATTCAAGTGCGATGTATCCAATCTGTGACCCAGAGATTTTGATTTGAGCAAGCTCTGGAAACATGTGGAGCAAGGGTGACACTCTGTGGGGAGAGAGAAAAATTTCAGCCATTTAGGGTCCATTTTGTTGTCATTATCTCTTCTCGTTCAATAGATGGACTGTCTGTGAAATGACCACGTTAACCTGCCTCCGTTTATGTCCCAGGCTTTCTCTTTGTGCCTGTGGTCTGTTGCAGTTGTGTTTTGGTAATGATTTCTTTATTAGGTCTTGGGGAAAGAGAGTAATGAGCTAATTTCTTGTTCAACACCCCAGTTTGTCATCTCAGGAAGGGTTGGCGGCTTGCCTCCCTCAAAGCTTCTTCTCTGGTGGAAGTGAAGAACAGACGAAAACGAGAGAGCAGCTTTGGTCTCTCTGGATCGTCTGCTCTCTGGCTCTGACCACAGGTTTTCTGCTGTTCCCATCAACACTGAAGCAATGGCCCTGCAAATAGGAGGAGGAAATATTACCCAGCACTCTCTTGAGCCAGACTTCATGTAGGAAAGAACGATATTCTGGAATGGAATAAAAAGGAGAAGAGGATATACACATATTTATCTGTGGGGATATGAAATGAAGTAGCAGAATCATTGGAGAAAGGAAAGAGCAGAGTTTGCCCATCCAAAAACACTCTTGTCCTCTATATTTCTAGCCATAAGGGAAAGGATAGCCTGGCTACCTACTGTTCGTTATCTGCATTCACATTTATTGCCCCTAAGAAGAGAATAAATATTTATTTCTGGGATTCTGATAGGCTTCAATGTGGAAAGGAGAGTGGAAAAGTTTAGATTCTCCATGAAAGAAAAGAGTTGTATAGTTGTTTTCTTGGGGAAAGTATCCCATTTCCTGGAAGTGTGTCCAGGTCTGTGTAGGGGAATCCTGCCCCGTCTGAGATTGGGGCCGCGGACGAGTTATCCTGGGCATTGCCCAGCTCAAGAAGGCTACAGCCCCCACAAGAATGCGGAGCCTGTGGTTCATGCCAGTGTGGGTCTGTGCTCAGTCTCTCCACAGGGGTAACAGTGAGAACATTGCTCTTTCATACTTCATGTAAAAATATTTCATTCTGGGTTGGCAGCCTCTGCAATTCACCACCGCCCTGGGAAGGCAAGAGGACAGTTCCTGTGGTGTGTGGAAAGCCCCTCAGGCTGTAGGCTGCCCAGCCTTAGTCAGCTCTGGCCATTCAGAGACAGCAGGTTCTTCCAGCCCTTGTCCCTGGGGCCTAGTGTTGTGAGCGCCTCAGGTCACTAATCAAGTTGAAGGATTGACACACCATGGTTACAGATCCCCAGTGGATATCAGCTCACGCTTGCTCCGTGTGGTGGTCTGGGTTCTGCTGCTCTTACCCATCCATGGGGTCACAGAGGCCTCTCCCAGAGGCTCTTCTGTTTCTTTGTTCCCAAATCACCTCTCTGCATCCTCCTTTTCTTAGTAACTAGGGCTCTGGTGCCCTGGTTGCCCATGGCTAGCTGACTCTGATGATTAGTGTGACAGCCTCCAACCAGAGAGATGAGAGGACAGAGTGAGGAGAATGGGCAGCTGGCAAACTTGTATGTCAAAGTAAAGAGCTCCTCTTGGTTCTCTCCTTTCCTTCCCTCCATGACAAGGCATTGGACTTGGCACTTCCTCTACTCTGTGAGATCACTATTGAGTGCGTCAGTTAGCACCCCAAGGGGATGGCTTGATTGGGAACACGGTGAAAGGAGCTGATCTACTGTATTGTAATGTAAAACAGCTACAGCCAGTGATTTTGTAAGATTAAAAGATGTTCATTAAAAAATCAGCACACAAAATACTAAGTGTCTTTGGTGTCTTATTCTTTGTTTAAATCATTTTTTCACTTCCAAATCACTTTCCATTTGCTTGTGCCAGGTCCAGACATCCATCATTGATTCATTGATTGATCGATCATTCCTTTCAGGCACTTAAACACTATTTATTAAGTAAGTGGTATGAGTAAGGGAGATAAACATGAAAGTTCGTGAGGAGAGATGACATATACAAAAACAGAGTACACAGTAGTAATGTCGAGTGCCTCATGAGTTGTGAAATAAAGTGCAAGAATCATTTACAGTTCAGAGGAAGTAAAGAGTTACTCCTGGGTGCCAAAGGTAGGTAGCATTTAAAGGATGGTCCGTGAAGGATGCATATGAGCTTGGTAGGCAGAAATGGGAAAGAGGGAGAGGAGAGTCCAGGCAAAGTGAAGAACAGGGCTGACGATATGGAGGTAGGAATGGGAAAAGGCTGGGCGATTTTGGACATCACTGGGGCATTCAGCTTAGCTAGAAGGTAGAACTCAGCTAACAGGCCCTGCATTTGGCAAACATAGTCTTACTTAACTCTCACAATGCGTTTCCAACTTCCATATTCTCATTTCACAGATGTGGACACGAAGCGTCGGTGTGGTGAAGAAAGTTCTTTAAGGTCGCATGCCTGGAATTAGGTTCAGGCCTGGTTCTGTGAGACACCAAAAAGTAAGAGGGAAAAGAAAAATGATAGTTAATAGGATAGGGAAAAGGAAGAGAACTGTCAGAGGGGATGCCTCTGCATTAAGCCTACACACCCACAAGGATTATCATGACAGAAAAGGGAGGCCAGGAGGAGCAAGCTTTTGAAAAAAGAGCATGTATTTGCTTATTGATAAAGTCGGTTTTAGGGCCAGATAGGGAACTGGTTGGACATTTCATGTAAAGCAGTGTTAAGCCCCTGGAGGGGGCCTCTGCAGCTGGGGGCAGTGTGCCAAGGCCTCTGGCCGTGCCAGGCCCCACCTGGCTGCCTGAAGGGCTGGGTAGTTATCTCAGCACACGGGGAGCCATTTGGGAAGGTCTGTGGGATAGATAAGTTAGAAATGTGAGCTTGGAACGTGAGAGAGAGGCTTGTGACTAGAAATAAACATTTGAGAGTAAAAATAGTATTGTCTGACATTTTCTTCATGGTTTACAAAGTGCTTTCATATGCTTTATTGCTACCCGTGGGTTAAACAGAACCAGTAAACTGGTTTCCATTTTACAGATGAATAAACTGAGTATCAGAAAGGTTATTGAATTAAGTTCAGATAACTAAGTGCAGGTCGGGATGAGAATCCAAGTTTTCTGTCCCCAAATGGGATGTACTTTCCACTACACGATATTCTGCCCACTAGGCCCAGAGTGAACCCCCCAACCAGTTGAAATGGGAAAGTTAAGTGTCTTTTTACCTGTTCATATTTCAAGGTGTTTACTGGTTTCCCTGTGGCTTTTTTAGTAGCTGATGGTAGGAACTAAGAGCAAACCTTCTAGAGCACCCTTCCAGGGCCTTCTGCTCGTGCCAGGCCCTGAGTATAAGCAGATGCCCCTGCACATGCCAGTTAGGCCAGCTGGACTGAGACATCTGGCAAGGCTGCCTTCTCCCTAATAGCTTCCCCAAGGAGAGCCCTGGAGAGAGACTTTGGAGCTCTGGTTTCTATTGACTGACAAACTTAAATGACATGATGAGTCACCCGTCAGCTGAGAGACTCACTAGTCTTAGATTCAGGCCACCAGATGATGAGGGGCTCAGGATGGGGAGGAGGGTAATGAGAAAATTTTCCACTTATAAATAGCTCCAGGGCATCTCTTTTTATGTCACCCCAGGAAGACCACTGATTCTGGACCCCTAACATTTCAGGTTGCCCAATGGTTGGCTCAGAAAAAAGAGGTGGTAATGAGAATCTTATATCTCATAAAATACATCCACGCCCATAAAACTTTCTGCATGTGCCTTGGGTATTTGGGTCTGGAACAAGGTAAGACTACGGTAGAGAATAATGATCATTTTCAAGTCTGCCATGATCTGAGCCTACCTGGGCTTGAATGCACATTTTCTGGTCAGTATCCAGTCTGGTGGTCAAGATACTGTGAGGTGTGTGGATTTGCTACATTCAGCTCCTTGTTGATGATCCCTTTGTTTTTTTCTCTATCCTGCCGCTAGATCTTCAGGTTACCTCGCCAAGTGTTAGCAAGAACTGGTGCGACAATGGCAGAGTACATTCTTAAAGGAATCTACAAGTCAAATCTGGTTAACATTCCAAATCAGTATAAGAAAAATATTTCTAAGCCCTGAAAGATAGTGCAGAGTAACTACAATTTGCTAATGTTCTTCAAGTCAAATTTTCTTCTAAGGATAATTTAATATAGACAAGCTTCCTTTATCCACATAAAAGTCACTTATTTGAATGCAAAAAAATAACTAAAAGGAGAGTGTTGACTTTTTAATGACTACCAATCATGTATCAATTTGCCTCTCCTCTGCATTAGATAACTGCTATCTAAAAAGGCAGCTGCCTTTTTCAAAATGTGTATGCACGTACGAGTCACGTATTTAAATCGCACAAAAGGCTCAAAGTTAGAGAATGTTGCCATACCGCAGCTCAGTATGTGTAGCTCTGAGTGCTTTCTGAATAGTAAGCCAAGTTGTGTTAGAACACAGATGACTTCCAAGGAAAGATTTCGTTGTTAGTGAATCGGTAACCTTTAGAATGACCTGTAAGAGAGTCCTACAGCTTCTTAAAATGTCCAAGTAGTCTCCACCCTGGGAAATACTGCTTATTAACTCAACGCTGCTCATACCTTCTCTACTTTGCTAGGTGACCTGCTGCAGGGAGGCTGGGGGCAGGGATGACCAAGTCTGGACCTGGTCAGTGGATCTTCCTGAGTCTGGAAGGTCAATGTACAGGATGCATTAGTGACTTGTAATCCATGGGCAGCACCATGGTGATCTGCAAGGAGCACAAGCTCTTGAGCCTGACAAATGTGAATTTGAATTCTGACTCCACCACTAGCTAGATCTGTCATCTAGTTACTTAACATCTCTGAGCCTCCGTTTCCTAAATATCTACCTTTGCAGGGCTGTGCCTGGCACAGTGCCTGAGCAATGTCAGACAGGAAGAGGTTAAGGGGTGGTTGATGGAAATGATGGGTAGAGACTACTCTCTCAAGAAGTTTGACAGTGGAGAAGGGTAGGGAGTTGCCCTTATATGGCTTTTAAAGATCCTTCAAATTCTCAAACACTATGATGCTTGGACATTAGATGGTGTCTGAGATGTGTGCCATCATCATCATATTCTCAGGATGGAGCAGATAGGAGAATCCCGTGTGGTTTGGCTGTTAAAAGATACCCTAGCCTACGGATTCAGAGAAATGCAAAATGGATTTGTAGGGTAACGGTGGTAAAAGCATTGAGACACTGAGAAAAATAAAGTGGGCTAAGGGAAATTTTTGGAGGTGGCAAAAATGTTGGTAAGTTCCAGAATTTGGAATATACTGAAAAGTTGCATTAGCTATGTGGAATAATTGTTATTTCTTCAAAAGATAACTGAATTGCTGAGTGTATCCAGTTTGTAGAAGAGTACTGTTAAATGCGATTTTCTACAATGATGGAAATGTTCTGTATCTCATTGTCCAATGTAGTAGCCACTAGTTGCATGCTGCTCTTGAGCATTTGCAGTGTGACTAGTACAAGTGAAGAACTGAATTTTAAGTTTTATTTAATTCCAATAATTTAAATGTAGATAGCCTCAGGTAACTAGTGGCCACCACATTGGACAGCGCAGTTCTAGAATATTACACACATCTATCAATCACATTTGCTTTTAAAATATGCTTTGGACATAACTTTTTAAATCGTGTTGCTTGTGTCTCATGGCTGAAGTAAGGGTACATCATGTTCAGTTGGGTGTTTGGGTTATATTATTCTAGTTTAGAAAAACTTAAATTTAATAAATCATCCACAAATTCATATACCCAGAAACCTCAAACCAGAAATAAAAAAGCAAATAAAAATGTCTCTCACTGGCATATAGTTTCCATAAAGCCTATGCAGTTTTTAACAGATAAGGTAACAGAGTCACCACTGGGACCTTAACTTTGGGAAATCATACGGTGACCGAGGAGCAGTGAAACACTTAACAAAAATGAGACGTGAGAATCATTCAGAGAAGCGCACAGAGGCCCGAGGTGGCACAGCTGATAAGTGGCCAAGCCAGACTTGGACCCCGGGAGTCTGGCTCTAGTCTGTGCATTAACCCACTCCCTCTCCTGGAAAACCACACACATAAAACACAGTACGTAGTTTTGTAGGTTCTCAGGCTTGAAAGGGTCTCCTAAAGACCAAATTATTCCCTATAGTTTCCTTCTACAGTTTGTCCTGCCTAGTGGCGAATCAATTAAGGAACTCACTATCTCCCAGGGCTATACAATTTATATCTGGACTTCTCTCACTTTAGTGAAGCAAAAAATACCCATATAGCTGGTGATATTATTGTTCTATTCAATAAATATTTATTGAGCACCTATCCTTTGCTGGGTACCAGGGATACAGTAAACAAAACAAAGGCTCTGTCCTCCTGGAGCTTGGAGAAAAGTTGGGGGAGACAGACACTGTAGCCAGAAACAGACATGTCCACTGGTGGAGAATGCTGCAGAGAGAACTAAGGCGTGGTTGGGGTGGAGAGTGGCCAGGGGTGAGGAGGTGCTGGTTTATATAGGGAAGGTCCCTGAGTGCTTCTCGGAGCCACGCAGGAAGTGAGAGAGTGAACCCAGTGACTACCTGGGGGAAGAATGAGCCAGTACAGGGAGCAGCAGGTGTGAGGTGGGAGAGAGCTTAGTGTGTCTGCACTGAGGCCAGCGCAGCCGGAGCAGAGTGAGGCAGGCAGAGGTCCAGGGGATCAGGAGAGTCCTAGAGGGTCTCCTTAGCCACGGTAATGGCTCTGGCTTTTAGAAATCGTTTCCCACTCCAGTTTCTCTATACTTGCATATAATCCCTCGG